ATACGACGGTGGCTTCATAAAACAAAATGAAAGTATGACTTGGCCCTCGTAGAAACGAAACACTCTGTTCTACAAAGTGATCTGGTTCATTCGGAACAGTTGCAAATAGGAGCTATACACGTTCAATTACAAGCACAGATTCCTAAGAATGTTCGACTCATGGCTAACATCAAAGCAAGCAGACAGACAACTGTTCCTTATATTCGTGATTGTCACGAAGCGTTCAGTGTGAATATGTTCAATGAAGTGCGTACGTTCCTTTCAAACATCGAAAAACTTACTTGGAAAAGCAAGGAAACCTTAGCTCTCTTCAAAAATATGCTGTATACCGGGGTTTGCCCAATAAGTCGTTTTTCCTCTGAAACTCAGGCATACAATTTGCAAACTATAGAGAAGTGCTATTCTGAAGTAAAGCATACCAGGTGGCCACGCACGCTATCGTGTGCGCTAGGGGCTCTAGCCATGAGGGACGGAGCCACATGAGCTGATTTTCATTATAGACCTTTATCGGATTTATGAGTTTCCGCTCAAACCCTGCTTCCTGTTGGCGGAGTCTGGTCCAGTCACCCTTCCCACCAAGATTGAACTTTCTAGGTCCACGGGGCAGGAGTAATGAATTTCCGCTCGAACCCCGCCTTCTGTGGGTGGAGTCTGGTTGTCACGCTTCCCACCAAGTTTGAACTTGCTAGGTCCGCGGGGACGGGAGTAATGAATTTCTGCTAAACCCCCCCCCCCCCCCCNCCCCCCCCCCCCCCCGTAGGCGGACTCTGGTCTTGCCGCCCACTACAAGTGTTCCCATCCCGCCGCCTATACTCCTTCCAACTTTGAGTTTTCTAGGTCCACGGGGACAGGAGTTATGATTTTCCAAAATGTTTTCATAAAGCATTGCATTCTTGGGGAACGCTCCGCCCATCGGGGGTGGGTTCCCCAGTTCGATCTAACTTGGCAATACACACCTCTAGCCACCTTTGAACCCCAGTTTTGAAGCCGTCCTGTGCTGAATTTGAAGTCATGGTCCTCGGTACAGCCCATTTCGATGCACGCCGCGCCCACTGTGAGCGGTGCTCCGCTGAGCTGATGTGTGCTTTATACTTCTCGGGACATGGCCCACCCATGTCACGCTTGAGCCAGTCTCTCCAGGCAGATCTAAGGGAGCTAAGGACAGACATTTCGTGACAGACATACAGGCAGAACGACAGACAGACGGAACGACAGACGAAGTGCTTTATAGTGAGTAGGATTTCTGACCGACCCTAATGATGAAGTCATATTTGCTATTTTTCACTAAGAAAACCCGCTTTCATGTGAGATCTGCGCATGACTAGATTCATTCGTTCATCCATGGAAGGTTCGTAATTTTAAAACAAAATTCTCAAAAAAATTCTGGATGATTTCAATAGAAAAGAATGCCTTGTGCTTATAATTGCAGCGAGCGCCGTTGCTGAAGACGTACCTTCAGGAGCTTTAACATAACCAGGACTTCAAAACTTATTTTCAGTTTACCACTTTATGGGGTATGACAAGTTGGCTTAAACTGTTCAACATTATATATATGGCAAAAGTAAAAAATCAGCATAGTTAAAATGAAAAGGCGAAATAGGTGCGGAATCGCGTTTTTTTTCGTGATATTTTGAAGAATCCAATTCAAGGTTGGGTTTTGTACCTCCATCGTGTTGACCTAGAGCGAGGTATCCAACCAACAAGGCAATGCTCTGGGCTGCGCGCAAAGACTCCTTCTTGAGATTAGCATCGGATGAAACTTTGTTTGCGACTTATTTTGCTGAACATCCCTGTTTGTTTACGGGGTCTGAATACCCTATGACGATTAGTTCGTGTGTTGGCCTTCGCGCTACTGAACGTGGCTCACTCCTACTACCGTTACTTTGATGACTTCCTTATCATATGTTCGACTGAGGGAGAAAGTGGCATTTATCAGTTCCACAGGGGAAAAGTCGGTGGTGGGCTGAGTGCCATTTTTAAATACCCGATTTTTTTAAATATCCGAATTTAAATAGCCAGGTGATTCGGGGCATAACAGAAACCAAATGATACCGCAAGCAAGCTGAGGGAACATATTTGCTCACTCCCTGTCGGCACACCCTATAAAAACCAAACAGGCAGTGGTCACCAATATGTTTAGAGTCGCAAATAAAATAAATAATCGTACTAGATAATTATTTGAGCATAGTGCTGCTACAGACAGCGAGCAAAGCTATTGGATCGCTCGGAAAATAATTTCGATTGACTGAGCGTTTCACAAAACAATTTTCGCCTTCAGAACGAGCGTAAACCAATGATACATACCCAGTCGTGTTGGGTTATTTTTGCCTTCTTTGTGCTGATTTCATAGCTCGTCCGTCGCGGAAAACTTTGGCCAGAAAACTTGACCACATTAGATTTAATATCTTCACCACTACTGAAGATTTTCCCCTTTAAGGATTCTGCAGCTATCGGAATAAGTGGGATGTAGATGTCGCGAGATCAGGGCTACATGGTTAATGAAGCACTTATTTCACACTAGGCTTCGATAATTTTTGCTGAATCACATGCGATCTGGTCTACTCATTGCATAGCATTTCTCCTTTGCGACTCGCTGATTTTGAAGAGCTTTTTCAGCTGGACCATAATATTTCAAAACTTCGATGTGTAGAGGTCCAAGTTAACATTTTGGTTCCTTCGAAGCCTTCGAACTGTATCCCATCTCTTCAATCCTATCAAATTGGTGTCGGGACCTTATGATGAAGATTAGCTGTGGACCTGGTATGAGCTGGTTCATTTGGTGTTTTCCATTATCGTTTGTGAGTGGAATTATCGCAAATGTTCCGATTTCTATCGACAGCCACTATTCTGTTCATGTATGGGTGGTTTTCATTGCGTTTAAAGCTCAAATCGCAGACACTGTTTCGCGGCGTCGAGTGTACCTCCCTCAACTCGTGGGGCACTGGTCTGAACTTCAGGCTTTTTTATCAGTCCAAGTTTATATACTCTGGTCAACTACTTGTCTCTTTAGTATAGGTTACGTGGGATCGGTTTCGGTCGTGCGAGCGTCAATAAGTGGTCATCCATGCCTACTGGTCAGCCCACTTTCCAGTGATGAATTGCTGGAACGAAAAGTTGTGAACCAATGTTCACATGTGCTCTGTAAATAACACATTGCCACCTTACATTCATCTATTTCATGTAAAACACCAGCAGCTTTCTAGCTAATATAGAGGTGAAAAAGTCGTCCATCTGACACTCCATACTTCGGCTTGAACTCGAAATAGCAAATGGGAATGGAATTTGTTCAGTTTTTCCTTAAGAAGCGCAAGTTTATTCGTGATGTATCTGAAATAAAAAGCTTTCGGACTTTTGAAAAGCTTTTCAAACAAGTGTTTGAAAAATCGATCTCAAAAGCCGAAATTATTTTCCGAACAACCCGATACATGGGAGGCGCTTCCCCAAGCTTATCGCTAGCTCATCGCCTTGCGCTGTGCTCTATTAGATTTGTTAATTTCAAATCAGCTTATTTCTGGAATGAATGCAGAACATTTCTTTTCAGGTGGTTAAACTTTACGCTTGGGAGCCGGCCATGGAGGCAGTTGTGGACCAGATCAGATTGAAAGAAATGGCTCTCGTACGAAAAGCGGGAATTGTAAAAACCCTGGCTGATATGCTCAACATTTCTGCTCCGTTTCTAGTAAGACCGCGATATTCATGACAATCTTCATTTAACTTCTTGTTTTCTCATCTGTGAGCGAACTTACGGTTTCTTTCAGCTATTGGACCCATTTTCCTCCCTCAATTTATTAGATTGTCGAAAAAATCTTTGCGCATTTTGCATTTTTTGAGTTGATTTTTCTCCTTATCAACGAGCAACAATCAGCAAATGTCACCAATACTATTGATAGCATATTGCTATTCAACAGACAAGTCGTTAATTCCGCTTGTATGGAATTCCTGCTCCGAGGATAAAACTCTCCGATGCATACCTCGAGCTAAACAACATTAAAGTTTTTATTTTCAAAGGATCGATAGTGACAAGAACAGGTGGTGATCTGTTAGGCCAGATCTGGTGAAAAAGTGGGTGAGTCAGAACGTGCCATCATAAGCTTTGAAGTTCCTTCTGGGTCTCTATCACAGTATGTGGGCTAGCACTGTCGTGGAAAAGTTTGGCTTCCTACCGTTTCTATCATAAGGTTGCAAGCGATCCGGCTAGGCGTAATATAGTTCGGCGAAGACAGTGGAGTTTGATGATAGCAACTCCCAGTGAACGATCCCTTTCGAATTCCATCGAACGCTGAGTATTGCCTTTTTAAGTTGGGGGTTCGAATTATATGCTCTCCACGCCCATGCCACTGCCTCTTCCTCATGTGGTTCACGTAGAAAACTCACTCCTCGCGGTTGATTAAGTCGTTCTGGGATTCTCTGCAACCGGCTTCCGAAAGTGGTAGTGATTCGGCTCAGCTGGTCTCTCAGATCATGGGTTTTCGGTTGAATCAATGTGTCCATTTTCGAGCTTGCGGTACCGATTCTTTATCGTTTACAAACACTGGAGGAACCCATTGCATACCATGTGTTTCTTTTCGCACGGTTTGGATTCGTTTTTTTCATCTGAACGCATGATGAAGTCTAGATTGCTCCGATTCGAGAGCGATTCTTTCAGCTGTGGTCGTTGCGAGATGCTGCGGCAGATACAGTAAGAAAAGTGCATTGAGCTGCACTTACATTAGTATGTTTCACTGAATGTTTAAAAGCAACTCCGAAGATTTCACAGCATGGAAACGAAAATCAGCAGAACCTCCTGACATCCTGTACTTTTCTTCCACGTTTCAGGTGGCCTTGACAACGTTCGCCACCTATACTCTCACTGCACCCGACCACGTTCTTACTCCTCAAATCGCTTTTGTTTCGCTAACATTATTCAATCAACTAAGAGGTCCTCTGCTGATGGCGGCCGATCTCATCTCCCAGACAGTCCAGGCTGGTTTTCATGTCCGACAGTTTATTTCGAATGCTGGATGATCAGGCAAGTGATTAAGGTTGTCGTCTCAAATAGACGTCTGAAGGAATTCCTAGTAGCCGAAGAATTGTCGGAGACAGCAATCGATATTGACGAAGATGAGAAATGTAGAAGAGTTTCCCTGTGAGCAAAGAATTATGTGCGTGCCTTATTATATTATTTTAGATTATCATGATTCTGCAGAATTCTCAACAGCCTCGTTCACTTGGAATCGGGACGATCCACCACAGCTTCGAGAAATCTCATTGAAGGTGAATGTGCCTACCATGGAATGTGTATTTCATTTTTGTTGGCTGACCTTTAGCTCTCCATGAATACACTACATCGGGCCCGCGATCATCTTTTTGTTGCCTTCATTTGGGTCTTGATTTGTAATTTCTACGAATGAGAAAGGGAATATTTTTTGCAAGTGGAAGACTTTCCCATGACCTTCAGTGTAGTGAAGGCATACCGATTATTCCTTCATCCATCATAACATCAAAGCAGATAGAAAAAGGCGAATGTTTTTGAATTATCCGTGAATTAGATTGAGTGGTAGCGAATGAACAATAAACGTCCAGAACATGAAGCGCGCGCAGGATGTACTACATAGTGGTTCCATAGGCTAAGCGCAAAGCTCTGTGTCAGGTCGCCTTGTTAGAGTGAAGTGGGTTGTGAAGCTAGCTTGAGTCTGTCGCTCTTTGTCATACAACAGCTCATTCACAAGCCGTTAAACGTGCAGAGGGTAACAACATATCGAGAACACGAACAAGCATCGACAGCTTATGTGAATCTGAACGTCACGAATCATGTTAACGTGAAATAGTCATTATGAACAACTGGCTACAGGGTAGCACAAGCCGGCGCATTGTTACGCGAAGAGCGCGTACGCGCCAAATTGAATAACCACTCTGTCTTCTTTCCATACCCTATAAAGTTGGTACTGCAGTGCAACGGAGCTTCTTGGAGTTGATCTGCAAGATGCTCTCCAATCGGTGAACTAACATGAACGTCAAGCTGCAATTTTCACGAAACTGGCTCTACGATAAGCAGCGCACATGGAGTGCTTGCATCATTTGTACTTACAGGAAAACAGGTGGTTGTGCACTGGCAGTGTGTTTCACCAGAAGGAACATGGGGCACTTGTAGCAATACGCATAGGGTGACTAAGAATTATAGGGCACAACGGTGGCAATATTTGAATAAGGTGCACGATTTCAGCGCATGAAACTGGGAATGCAAGAGGGATATTGAGGAGGCTGTGGGCTCTCAACAAAATCCTAAATGGATTGCAGAAAACAGCGTCTCTCCAAACTAACATAAATACCACAGTGCAACTGTGTTCCGTAGCATGTTGTCGTTACTTTTTCTATGCCGTCATTATCATAGTTATAGGGATTAGAGAGGCACCCATATTCGCCACTGAGCGTCGTCTGAGGCTCGTCTGAGGTTACATTGATTGAATCTTGCCCGCTTAAACGATGGAGAATGGGCAACGTTTTCCAGGTTTTAGTTGTTTCTCAAATGTGATCTGTCATGTGCTCCATTTGGTAGGAGCGATCGAAAACATGTTCGTTAATGAGGAGATAGTTTTGAAATGCACTAAGATCTTAACGATAATTTCGGGTCATCAGAATTATGACGAAAATTGGAAAATAATGTGGAAAACAGTGCGAAGAAAAGGAGCAAACCGGCGTTTCTTTGAGAACATCGTTAAAAAGGGGGGTGGACGAGAAAAGGGCCAGAACAATGAAGAAGAAGGGGTGTTCGGACGAGCTATACAATGTGTGTCGCTGCATACATGTGGGTCCTGGTGCGAATAAGTGACTACAGTAAGCAAAAAATTTCCTCAGAATCCATTCGCTCATACGCAAAAGGTAACAAAAACATACAACAAAAAACAAACAGCATAAATAGTCCACCTTTTTCAGCCCCTTGGAGTAGAAAATTGGTTAAGGGTTCGCAGCAGCAAAAGAATAACAGAGAATAAAAGAGTAGGGGAAGAGCATCGACTCATTATTCGGCTATCAGCTGATTCTGTGTGGGTCCCAGAGCGACTATTGCAATCTGTGTCGCATCGGCACTCCTCTGAAGTGACATCGGTTGAGAGGCGGGTCATCCGGGTGTTATTGTAAAGGGGCCTGCTATGCCTTAGCTGTTGAGTTTCGGGACTCGACAGCGTCCTTCCTCCAACCCTTGCGGCCCTCGGTATTTCTAGAGGGAGAACCCAGAAACCATTTTTATCGTGAACTGTGCCTTTAAAAATCAATGAATAGTTCTAATCACAGACTAAAAACAATTCATAAGAATGTTACAATCGGAACACATTACATGAATCCTTCTGAGGGAGACGTGCATAATCTGCAGCGGCGAGGCATCTGATTTCGCCCCTGAATGAGCTTCATTTTTCTCCAAAAAAGAAAGCTTTTTCAGTAGCCTGTATTCATATGAAGATGCTTAACGCAATTTTAGAGAATCTCAATAGCACAGTCCTACTGCAAGCTCGTGAGTTGAATCAGTGGGAGTAAAGCAGTAGAACCTACATGCGCAGCCACTTTGATTTATTACTGTGGCTCCTTCCTGTGGGTGGAGTGTTCTGATTTTACGTGTGAGAAACCTGAATTGACCCACTAAAAAAATCAAGTACCAAGTGGGGGAGAGTTCATAACATCGGTTCACATTTCCTTGGCTCATCCACACTAGTCTTTGTTCACCATCGCTAGGCAGAAGCAATCTAGGTCTTTCTCCTCTGGTCTCTACAGTGACTCTTATACATATTATGGTGACAGAAAGTTGCGCCAAAATCTGAAATAAGTTTTCTGCGCACCATCAAGGTTTTCGTTGAAGATTTGTGATATTAGAACAGAATTTCTTTCAGATTGGAAAGGGGAAGCTACTCGCCGTCGTTGGGACTGTAGGAGCCGGTAAATCCAGTCTACTCTCAGCTCTGTTAGGTGAGCTTCGAAATTTCATGAGTTCTAGTGACGTCTCGTCCTATTCAAATTCGAACTGTTAAACTGGACTGTTCCATTTGAATCTAGCGTGGCCAGGCCGTCCTGGTCGAAGAGTGTGTAATGTCGTGCATTGCAGTGTTTCCCAAAACTATGAGCGCCAAAAATCCAAAAATTCTTGGGCAGAATTATATGTTGATTTCACCTCATGCGTTAGTAATAAGCTGCATAAGATGGTTTTCTTGCAGTCTGCATAGTTACTGAATTGAGACCTAAAATATCTCCGAGATGGCGAAGACCCATTCATATCAGTTGCGATAGTTTGCAGCAAGAGGCGGAAGAACATCGTGAAATTCTTTGTTATTTCAGTAGTGACCGTACAGGAGAATAATAAAGGCACAGTTAACTATAATTTATGGGTATTCGGTTTTCGAAGGATAGTGGAAGTGATCGTTCACAATACCGCAAAAAAGGTGAAAAAAGCAAAGAAAAACAAAAGTTCAAAAAAGTAGTGAAACCGAGGGTTGGACGAGTTCAAGGGAGAAAATGGCGTGGATGGGGGTGATTGGCTGCTTTCACAGCCCGCGATTCGGCCCCCGAGCGAGCGAGCGAACGGCCGATTGACCGAGCGAGCGTTGCGTATAACTGACTGTATGCCGCTAAAAATTGAATGTGATCTTCTTCTATTATTCTTCTGCATTGTGGATATTCTGCTGCAGCTAAGAATGCAGAAAAACAAATTAGAAGAATGACTGCAGCAGCAAAAGAACAGCAAAGAATGATAGAATCGGAGTGAAACATACTCTCACCACTCGTTGCTGAACGAGTGGGTCCTGGTGGGAAATTGCAACCTATATCTCCCCACGACTCTTCTGATAAAACATCGGTCGATGAGCGTGGCCTCCGACGGATCCGGTAATGAGGCTCCTGTCACGCTCTAATCTCTTGAGTTTTTGGGTCCCACAGCGTCCTTTCTGCTACCCGCGGAGTAGGGAGGGAAAATCTAAGAAAATATTTTCATCGTGAACTGTGCCTTCAAACATTAGAGAGCAGCAGGGTCATATCAAAGACAAACATGTGAAGATTATTTTAGAAAGGCGAGCGTTTTCAAAAACATTACTAATGGTTGCTTTCATAATCCGACGGCGTCTCGTTCAAGACTGATGCCGACGCGAGTCGCCGGTTCTAATTAGCACCGAATAGTGGCCGTTCTGCTCGCCAAATCTGGACCTATGTGACTTCTCCGTGTGGATCCTAATTGGAGAGGATACCTGTCGAGTTTAACATCCCATTTTGGAGTATTTTGGAGCAAAGCTCTAAAATGGCCGAGAAAAAATCAGGGAAGAATACCTGCGTATGTATGCGAGGAGTTTGAGAATGAATTTTTAGCATGCATCCGTATTCATGAAGGGTATTCCAAATGTGTTTGTAGCTTGTCGTTGCACATAATGTAAGCAAACGCGTATAGAAATCCCATTGTCATCTTCAGCTTCGAAACTTAGAGTAAATTGCAATGAAGAGGCGCCCAAAATTTTACGACGGCCTCAACATTCATCTACAACACTAGCCTATCCTAACGTTAGTACGCAATATCTTTCTAGCTCCCTCATCCAAGCAACACTTTTTGCGTAGCTTGATGAACAACAGAGAATAGACCTCCTTTTTCCATAGCTTGGCATCTGCTGGCGCAGAATAGCTATGCGCTACAACACTCGTCTGGGATAGCCTCTGCCGCTACGAATTGCCATTTCACATTCGCTCTAGTTCATTTACCTAGGTGATATGGAGAAACTACATGGCTACGTGGGACGTCGCGGAACAGTGGCCTACGTTCCACAGCTACCATGGATTCGGAACAGCACTCTTCGGGAGAATATACTCATGGGCAAGCCGTTTGATAAACTCTTCTATGAGGAAGTTATTGAGGTAAATATTACTAATCGCTTCCAGAATGTTTTTTCTTCAAATAGCAGTCTCTCTTAGTTTACACAAAGAAATCACGACAGTCACAATAGGCAATGTAATTGATTGTCAAACACTTCGTATTAAAGCTAATCTATAGTGTACACTGTTGAGACTCCTTTCAAGGCATGCGCACTGCGAGCAGACTTGGTGCAACTACCGAACGGCGACCAAACGGAAATTGGCGAAAAGGTCTGATTTACCTACAAATTATTTTACTACACGGCCCTTTTGGCTGCATTCGCTGTGCCTATCCATTGTACTTTTTCCAGGGCGTTAACCTTTCCGGTGGTCAAAAAGCTCGAATTGCATTGGCTCGAGCAGTCTACCAGAATCATGATGTTTATCTTCTTGATGACCCGCTTTCAGCGGTAGACGCTCATGTTGCTAAACACATATTCACCAATGTCCTCGGACCGCAAGGTCTTTTGGCCACCAAAGCGAGGTATTTTTGCTGTGGTATTACCTTCTGTACCGTACTGCTCCATGTGAAAAAACACGCGAACTCTGAACTACTCACCTTAAATAATGTTTGGACCAGTGAGGTATCTTACCTATATGCTAGCAAATAAAGATTTTTTTGATTCTCGCCTTTACTGGTAACCAAGGAAATCGGGGGAAGGACAGAATCCGTGACTGGTTGTTTTATTTTGATCTATAATAATTACTTGTTGAAGGATCCTGGTCACCCATGGGCTATCATTTCTCAAGGATACCGATGTCGTTGCTGTAATGAGAGGTTGGTTCAAGAAAAATTTCGTTTAAATGCATCCAGGCATTGGGTTGATTACGGGGAAGTAAGCAACTCGATAGATACATTCACCGCCTATACTATCTTGATCCCGACATTACTTGGAATTTCAACATATCAACACATAGATGGCTTTTGATGTAGGCGAAAACTAGATTTAACCCTTACTGCAAACGACCGAGAAGGAAATTACCGACCTTCTCTGATACCGGCTTTGGTGACGTTCACCTCTGTTATTCGCTTGAAGGCTTCGATTAAGTTGACTCAAATAAAACAGTGCATTGTACAAGGGTCCGCAACGTTCGAAAAAGTGAGTTTTTCATACAAAATTAAGGTGGAACGATTATGTATGTGGACACGTACGAACATCTTCTGGACAACGCCGATGCTCTCGAGATAATACAGGAAGCTGCCGAGACTCCAGATGAGACGCCGGAAGCAGAGCCTTCTGAAGTGTGAGAACCGTAAAAACTAATTTAGAGGTGCCCTATTGAGGGAGGAGTAAAGGACAGATGGATCAATGAAATACTCAAATTTTCTCGATTATAAAGTGGGAATCCTACATACTATTTCGTTGATCCTTCTCCGCTAGGAACGAACAATCAACACTCTTCTATGTAGTAACAGGGGTCACGTGAGCGCATGTGCTAAGGAGGCAGTAGTTTGCGAATTACTCCGAAAGCTTCAGATTCTGAAGCTCATTTTCATATTCCGAACCCAAAGCGTACCTAAATGTAAATTTAATGACTGGGGAGCCTAACGAAAATTTATGCAGGGAACTTGATTTTCTCATGTGATCCTGACTGTGATAGCAAAGAAGGGCAGAGACTTTATTGAAAGAGTTGTTGCCATGTATTATAGAGGAAAGGCAGTGAAGGCTCTAGTTGCTTAGCTTTTGGTGAAATCGTACCGACATAGAAAAACAGTGAAAATTAACTTTTTGATTCACAATCTTTGCTACTTTTCGAAGAACTGTTTGATTTCGCGTTTATCAAACCACCTATTCTAGATCAGACGAAGAAAGTGAAGTTGTCGAGGAGTTAGGACTCGATACGGATGATGTGATTTCAGTCATAAGTAAAACAAGCCAGCTACAGAGAAAGTCTACAAAGGTCGAAGATTTTTTCAGCTTTCACAGGGTGGACCAAAATTACAGTCACCAAAATTTAAGAGATTAAGGTGAAGCATTAAATTGATCCCATAGCATTAACTAATAAATAGTTGCATAAAAATTTTTTTGCCATCTGTATAATTACCCCGGTAGGCATAAATACCGAGATAAGGCTTTTATTAGGTTGGCAAATAAGTCCTGCGACAAAAAATTTGAAGCGTTGAAAATTTGTATCAAGAGTGTGAACACGGTAGCAAGGGTGATAGACTTGTAGGACATTCCTCAGGCAATCAACACATGAGTAAATAAGGGCACGCCTGTGGGCTTTCGCAGCATTACGGTCAATAAATGGACAACACCCGATTTGTAAAATCACCTTCTCCTAAGCACGCCAAGGAAAAAACGTGAGTGTAGCGGCTCGAAATATCAGCAATCTATTCAATGCTAGCACTGCTTACCGATCGACGGTCAACAATCAGTTTGCTCGCTTCACTGCAGGAGATACTAGCCTTCGGAGTAACGCACGCATCATCCCTTATTTTAATGGAGGTTGAAGGAATCCATCCACTATGAGTTGCTTAAAGCGGACTATATGGTCACTGCTATCGCTTGCACCTATGATCCCCTTTATTATTTGACCAACGGGGTTAGAAAAGGACGATCAAGCCGTAAATCAGGTCTTTGCAGAGGGGCATCGTACGTCCAAAATTCGCTTCAGACCCACGTCAAAAGTTCACCGATCCCGCTTGGTTACAGGTTACTCATCAGTCGTGCTCGCAGAGTGTTCCCCCTTTTAACTACGATGTGCTCCGCCTTTTTGAGCATCCCGTTGAAGAAAAGAAATTCGTAACTTAATGTGATCCAAAAACGGCAGTGATTGACTCAAAGGATAAAAGAAGGTTGTTGACTTNTTCGGCAAAAATTTCCTCGAAAATTGATTGATATGAAAAAATTTAGAAATGACTTAAAAAAGTTCTCCATTTTGTCGCAGGACTTATTCGCCAACCTAATAATATCTTTGAGACAGCGAGCTCGTTCACTGCAATTTGATATGGTTGGCACTCAGGGGGTGGGAGCCGCCGCAAGATTTCTTGGGATTCCAATAAGAACCATATAGAAGGCCAAAAAATGATACAGAGCAGCAGAATCAATCATACACAAGTCCGGGTAGGGTTAAGAAAGCCGTTGTTTCTAAGGCCAAGGCTGTCGAAATAGTCCGTTCTCGATCTCGTTGCTAGGCCTTCCTCAAGAGTTTGGCACGGAGCTGGATTCATTGAAGTCATCGATGGGGCGGACTACCAAGGAAAAACATCTTTGTCATTCTTATTGTATGAAGAAATTCCACTCAATTTCCTTGACCAATAGACAGCACAGGGTCAAGAAGTCCAAAAGGTTACTGAACCGCTCCAATGTAGACATGTATACCCATGTCATTTTCTATGACTGAAAAATTTTTGCGATAGAGCCAATCGTAAACACAGGGAAGAACAAAAGGGTGATCTTTCAATGAGAGTTGTTTTAAAAACAGTAAACACATTGATTGAAGGGCGATTTTTCTTTCTGAATAAGTCTACTGGTTTTCTAGCAAGGCTACCCATCAGCCCACAGAGTAGAGAAGTGCCGGAGCGAGTTGCTCGACTCAATAATCCCGAGGAGTGGTCATCTTGCCAACCGGACCCTAGCTCGTTTGACATATGCCGTCACTCTCCTTTTGACGTATCCAAGCGGCTCTTATTGGATAAGAAACTGTNAAATTCGCTTTCTCAGTTCGGAATTTCTGGAAGCGAAATCCAAGAACGGCTGGGAATAAACGGACGAGGGATACCTGCATGCAACATGCGAGGAAATCGAGAACAAACGAGCTCGTGTTTGTGTTCACGGAGGGTGTTTATAACTTGATAGTAGCCTGTTGGTCCATATAAAAATAAACAAGTAGACATCATTCTTTCTTCTCAGCTGAGAAGCTCCAAGCTTATTGCAATGAATAAGTGACTAGAATTTTGGCACACCTTGTACAGACAGATGTAGAGAAATTTCAGAGCTCTTTCAATTCTCTCATGTCGAATGCATTTCTTTATTTATATAATTTTCAGATGTCTTCGAAAAGGAAACAGCTGGGTCACCTAATAGAAGACGAGACGAGTGCGCTAGGAAGGGTAAAAAATTCAAAGTTCGTTAATGAATCTCTTTTTTTTACGAAACATGATTCTTCTAGGTCAAATTTTCCGTCTACCTAACTTATTTCAATGCTATGGGTATTCTACGTTATTTTGTGCCTTTTGCAGTAACATTATTGTTGAACTCAGTCTTCGTAATGGGCAGGAGTTTTTGGCTAACCGATTGGTAATCTTAGAATAATTATAACTTCAGAAGAATGGAAGTATTATCAGACTGTCTAGGTCAAACGACAATATTCCTGGAGAAAACGAGACGCTTGCAAAGCCACTGGGAGTTCGCCTTGGTGTTTATGGTATTCTTGGGACTCTGGAAGGTAAGACAGTGATCTCAACCGGTCGCCTAGCTCTATTGTAATAAGGCTCATCAGCATTGAACAGACATAAATATATTTCCCCTTTCTCCATTTACTTTACTGGAGTCATCATGATCTCGAGTCATGCTGCGTTCTGCTGTTGTTCTTATCTGTTAAGTACTCATAATCTCTCTACCATGAGGGCATCCAAGTGGCCAGACTTCTCGAGAACACACTCTGCTGAACAAGCCAATCTGTTTTACCTTAGATGGCAAAATTGGCTTCTGAAACCATTCAGTCTACCTCAAGATAAGGTTCGACTAGCGTTGCCTAACGAAATTTAAATCTAATTTAGTCTTTCTGTATAGGGTGCAAATGCGCAGTGACGGACTGGCTCCTCCTAAATTTTCCTAAAAGCACAGTTCACAGTAACTTTGGAGTATCTAATTTCAAACGAGTAGTTGAAATGAAATGGTGTCCGAAATAGTGCAAAAGGTGCGAAAACTGTCGTATTTGCGGACATATAAGGCTAAAATATTAGTAGAATTAGGGGTTGGACTTGGACGAGAGTGTGACGACAAAAGTTTCATGGAAAGGGTATTTGTAGGCGCTGTCCAAATGTTTGGGCCCATTGTGTACACTGGCTACGGGTGTGTGACAAGTCGTGCGTCCGAGGGTGCGCGCGGCAAATTGCGCGGCGAAGTTCGTGGCGAATTTGGACGACTCCGGCGCCTATCATTGGGGCCCAAATCTGAAGTAAGGTAGATTAGTAAAGCCAGCTGATCCTACTATTCTACTGTACTTCGAAATTTGGCCCAAATAATAGGCGCTAAAGAATTAAAGGTAGAATAATAGGTATGGGTTTCGCCGTGCAATTTGCCGCGTGCACCCTCGGACGCACGACTTGACCGTCCCCCACTGGCTACTGTGATCTGATTGCATGCAACGTGTGTGCGTCGCGGTGAATGCAACCCCTGCAGCCTCTACAGAGAAGAGAACCTCGTGAAAACTCTTTCGCTTCAGATGTGTAGCTCTGCTAACTTACGCCCCTTCTCAGCCCTTTTTCGACGCTACAGCATCCTTCGTGCCATCTTTGGAGGTCCCAGGTTCATCCTAGGTAGAAACCTAGAGACCCAAATTTATCGTGTACTGCGCCTTCAAGACAGCGGTAGAAGCCTTTTGAAGATCAAATTGTAAAGGAGAAAGCACAAAAGATTATTTTATTCAGTTGTGTTTCTCTATGCGGCGCTGACGTCTCTTATACTCGGAGGGGTGGCTGCTTCGTTGAGTCTGCACAAGCCCCTGTTCCATAATATTTTACGGAGTCCTCTATCTCACTTTGACGTCACTCCACTCGGAAGAATTTTGAATCGACTCGGGAAGGTATGTTCTTCCAAGTTCAAGTATTGTAACGTTTTCAAAATGAAATGGTTATAAAGGATATGGAAACAGTGGATCTCCGCCTTTCATCAAATTTCCGTTTCCTGGCTGTCGCCTTTATGAACGTTCTACAAGTAGGTCTTTTTGTAATGTTTTTTATATCGAAAAAAGAGCGTTATTCAGTATAATCCATATAAAATTTCATTACCCGTCTTATAAAACACCCCAGGCTTAGGTTAGCGAAACAATTGAGACATTGTTTGAAGCCTTTCAAAAATGGGGCTGTTTGGCATTTAACGGATTCTGTAGGTGCTTGAACGGAACATAGGTGGTGGCACGTGCAGACTTTACGTAGAGGGCGTAAGACTCTTCATCGACCTCTGATCGTTTTCGCCAAGCGACTGAAATACTTGTGTTCTTGCTTTGGATAATATTGCCCTTGAACTGTTCAGCTTGGTGCGATATTTTCTGGAACCGATTTTCAGGTTCTGGGGAACGATATGTAGATGGCACCTTCTCAAACCCGTCACAAGTAGGACGAAATTTTCAGCTCGTGAATACTGCTTTCCCGGAGAGGCAAGGATAGTCGAGTGGTGAAGAGTGGCAGCTCATGCCTGCACTGAGGAACCCTACGAGTTCAATACCTGCTTAAGCAAAAGCAGCATGGGCAAATGATGTCTATACCAGCGTCATGACGAAGTTGAAAAATGGTTTAAGTCACGAAAGAAGTTACTTATAAAGCTAGACCAATACCCGGAAGCGGTGCACAGGACTCTCGCAAAAGTTTTGTGGACAGCATACGATGCGAAGAGTGACTGACTCTGGCCAAAGAAGTTATGTTATGTTATGTTTATTACGCTGCTAAGGCAAACGTAGTATAAAAGTTAGTTCAGTTTGGTTTTTCAGTTTCTAGTTCCGTTTGGCACTTTGATGCACATTCTTTCTAAAATAGGATATTCAGAAGATGAACTACAGCAACGGGGAAAGACCATCAAAAGTTGACCATGTGCTCGTAAGAAAATCCCCCAACCAAATGCTTTCCAAAGAATTGTATCCGTAGCACAGGCCTCCTCGAGCACACATATCCTTTGACCTCTCTAGGAAAATACGAGTGATCACGAAGTGGGGAATTCGCTGGTGGAAGCTGTGTCGGAGAATATGGACGACCTCGACCGAAAGATTTTCGAACACTGAGGGATGAGTGCCAGATGCCTAGAGAAACAAAGCGTCCCCATCTTCAACTTTGAGGAAGTCGCGATGAAGAGGTCCGACTACTGCGGGTTAGCTGCGCACATCATAAAGCTATACGAGCTGCTATTCGACCCAACACAGAGAGATCGTCCTAATCTCACAGGAGCAGTTAAGCTTCATGCTCCAAATATCTACAAAGTATATCATCTTTGTAGCTATACAAAGGATACCATTTTTGTAGCTAGACACTAATGGAGAAATGTCGGGAGAAGCTTAGACTCTGCTACCTCGCTTTCGTCAATCTGGAGCTGATTCTATGGATGGCGCTCAGAGAACGAAACGTCCCGGAACACCTGATATCCCTGATCTGATCGTAAGGTATTTTCAAGCGGTCTAAACAAGTATTCCTCACAGCCCAACAAAGGCAATAGACGTTACAGTTGTGGCTTACCAAAGATCATCTCTGAGCCCGTCCCTCTTCCTGCAATATGGATGTCGTCACAAAAGAACTCATGGATGGAAAACTGAAGGACATGCTCTATGCTCATGACATCGCTCTGATAACGGAGAGTAAGAGCTCCAGGGCTAGTTGTAGGAATACAGAAAAAGCTGGCGGAGAATGGGCCTCGGCTGATCCTCAAGAAAAGCAAGTTCCTCAGCTGCAAGGAGCGCACAGAGCCGACAGTAGACGATATTGGAGAAGCCATGGAAGGGGTGCAATACTTCCGATATCTGAGGAACGACGTGGCTGCCGATAGTAGCGTGGACCTGGCCGTAAAATCCCGAATAAAGCGGCAGGATTAGGTGGAGGGAATCCACCGGTATTTTTTGCAACGGTGGTTAGAGGGAAGGTGTACCAAATTGTGATTATTCCGATGCTCTACGGCAGCGAGAACTGACTCGTCATTGAAAATTGTGAAAGGCGGGTCCACTCCGTTGAAATGAGGATGCTCAGATGGGCTTTCAGCTAGGCTCGACTGAACAGGGCCAGGAAGGAGGACACCAAGGCAGTCATGCAAGCGGCCGCTGTCCAGCTGACATAGAGAGCAGCTTGTGCGATGGTGTAGGCACGTGCTACGAAGGCCACAGGATCACGCCTTAAGAAATGCAATGGGGTTCGAAGCGGAAGGAAAGCGACCACGTGGAGCCCCACGAAGGAGATGGAGGGATATGATCAAGAAGGAGCTCTTCGAGACCAAATTAATGGCAGGCGATGCTGTAAATTGCGAGAAAATAATATATGTCACCGAAAACACGATATTTCACCATAGCAGCAGACCCTGCGACTGAGCGGATTGACGTTAAAGAGGGGAAGAATATTGGTTTTTGTGGTTATCGACGGCACGGCGGCACTCTAGAAGGACCCCGCGAACATCCTACTTTTGTCCTACTGAGTGGAAACAGTCTAATTCATCTTTCGAAAAAGGCTTATATCCATCGCGTNTCGCGTTCAAGCAGCAAATCGTATCTACAGATACAATCCAATAGGTTGCACTGCTGTTTTCAAATATCAATGCAGCCTATAGAATTAAACCCCATCAAATGAGTGTATTAAGAACTGACCTTGACTTAGTTGTTATCAATCACTGTAGCCCTACTGGAGCGTGGCCGCTCTACAAGTGAGGATTCATCTGTAGTTACTGTTCCTTTTAAACCCCTGCACTATTCTTGTCGCTTCGGTATCGCTTTTCTGAGCATTTTCTTCCTCTTTAGCGGTTTTTAATGCGTTCTAGCTCTTGCGATAGTAAGCAGGCATCCGGTATCCGGAAAACACATGTTGCTTTCCACTTTTGCAATTCCAAGTAAGCAACTCAATGAACATCAGTCATGGGCTGTTAAACGTTGCTATAGGCGATGCAATAAAACTCGCAGATAGCATCATCATCAACAACATCAACATGACCAAGTGTTCTGCATCAGTTTTTCGAATACAATACAATGAAGTGAATTGCAAGAAATAAATGAACATAATATTATCAGATATAGAAGGATACAAATAAAAAAGAGTAACAGCAAAGCATAGCGCTTTATATAGCTCTCGAACATTGCCTTTCCGCCCTTTTACTTCGCGGCTGATTGATTCGGCCATTAGCAATATTATGTTGAGGCTGCTTTCAGACGTGTATCATCATTTCAATTTCAACTCCTCTTTTCATCTTGGTTATTGTTCCAATATTCGTTATTTATTTGCTTATTTTGGTGAGTTAGATTTTTTTAACAGATCAAAACTTCGTTCACGCAAGTCTATCTCATTCATTTCCTTTTTCAGCGGTACTTTATACATTGCTCTCGTCAGCTCCAGAGGCTCACCGCCTCGACTCGATCTCCGATTTACTCTCATTTCGACGAGACTATTCATGGGGCGACTACCATTCGTGCTTTTGGATGGGTTGATATGTTCCGGGAACAGAACATCGATAAGGTAGTGATAGTTCTGTCTTGAAAACGTTCCACTAAAATGCTGTTCCTAATTCCGACCGGATAACCACGAAGCCCTTATCCAGTAGAATGCAAACGGCCAATCGTACACCGATCCCACAATATGTGACACGCCAGTCACTGGTGCTCAACCGCTTATTGCTCCACTGTTGTTTCTTTTCCGATTAGAGTACTGTATAGGGTCTTACACTTCCGGGAAGACAAAGAAGCTATTCTCGAAGTAATCATCAGTAGCATAGTATTTCAGTTGGAAAAGCATGTGAGATGCTCATACCTCTCCTTGATGTCGAATCGGTGGTTATCAGTACGATTGGAAATTCTGGGTAGCACAGTGATACTTGGTAAGTCCTTGCTTTTCATTCATAGCGCAAATGGTTGATGCAACAGAGAAGAAAGTGGGATTTAAATATGTCCAAGGCTTTTGGGATAAGGGTAATTCTCTTCGATTCTCTTCGCGTTGCGCTTGCCGCACCCGATCGCGCGCTGTGTAGGGAAAGATTCGAATTTCCAGCAGCGGAACCACTACAGCTCGTCGTTGGAAGCCGAGGAGAAGTACCGCCAGCCACGTTGTTCTGATTTCACATAATGTTCTGCATTGCTCTGCATATGTATCCAGTAAATATTGAACTCAATCTCCACTCAAGGCCTAGGTCTTGGCGAACTGGTCAGAATGGAAGACTACAGTGGAAAGATAGTCACATACGGCAAAAGGATGTAGATTTTTGTGGCGTGGAGTAAACCATAATCAACTTATTGAGGCGCCGAACAGTCTCCTTCGGAAAAAAATGTATATCTTCTGTACATGAATAATTCCAAAAACGAGGTAACCTGCAAATTTGACGCATACATCACAAATCACATCAATGGGAAGAACCTCGCTTTGAAGAGCGAGCCGGTTCGTACCTCACTTACAGGAACGAATCGGCTCGCTTTTCAAAGCGAGATTCTTCTCACTGATGTGATTTGTGATGTATGCGTCTTCCGAGGACTTCCGACTTCAGTTTTCAAATCAGAGTCGCTACGGCAACTCGAATTATCTAAATAACGATCACGGACAACAAGAGCTACTGTTCTTCGTCCTCGGGCCGCTGCTCGACAGAAGATCTTCCTATCGAGCATGGACGGGATGAAGAACTTGTTTCCAAAAGGATATCCACTTCGACGACGTCTCACCCTATTTTTGCTGAGTTGATCATAACGGTCCTTAGAGGCAGAGTTCCCGATAATTTTAGGGTATCTAATTTAAGGCGAATAATGGAGGCGATATTCAAAAGTAGTTCAAAGAAGGCAAAAAAATATGACAAAGGTCGCGTGGAAGGGGTATTTGGACGAACTGTTCAAATGTGTGTGCCATTGCGTATAGCTCGCTACAGCAAGTCGCCTGTGCGCAACGTGTGCGCCCCCGTGCGAATGTTGTATCCACTACAGCCCTTACAATGCTGTGAAAACTTGAACCTCTTCGGTATGTACATCGCGTAGGCCGATGTACATAGCTGCTCGGGTCCCTTGTTAGACCTATCAGACCTTTTTTCAACGTGACAGCATCCCTTGTGCTATCCTTAGGTGTCATATATATTCACGCTGGAGATAAAACGACGTCCCGCACGATCGGCAATAGGACATTATGATTCAGGACGGTGCCGTGCTCGATGATGCTGCAAAAATAGTCGTCATCGTTACGAGGCTGCGGCCTGTGTTCGCTTGACGAAATATTCTCTGCTGTAAAAAGCGTCAAAAATCCCGGTCACCCACACTGCAAATCTGTCTCGAAAGCCTTTTTTACGCAAGACGTCAGCCCCCCCCCCCCTTTTTNCAAACTATATGCAAATCTCCGGAACACCTTTTCTTGACCTGTTTCCTGACCTGTGCCTTTAAATGGCCGGGTTCATTGCCATGGCAGCCGAAATACACAAGTGTATTGTATGAATCTATATTGTCGCTGCATTGGAGTACCATTCGAACATCTGCTCTACGCAAGTTGCACAGCATTCCAGAGACCCTTTCTTCGAGAATTCAGGGCTGAAATCCAGCATTTTATGGGAGCCATTAAGAAGCCAAATATGCTAGCACTTCAATTTTATCTATCGCAGGCTTGTGATGTGAAGATGTTGTTGATATTAAAAAAAGTTTATCGAAAGGGACTTGTTGAGCTTGCTTCTGCTGGCGGAGCTTTAGCTCATGGCCCTAGTGCAGTCGTCAAAGGTCATTTTCATCCACTGATTTCGAGCCTCCTTGCAATCCGAAACAACCAAGACTCTGGATGGGTAAATAGTGGGGTTGGCCGTTGTCGGCTTAGCTGCCATTTATACATCATTTTCATTTTGGCGTACTCGCTTGGATCAGAAATAAATGTTTCCTCTCAATCTTTGCGCAGCCAGGATTCTTGCTACAAGACCTCACGGTTACAACAACATTTGTTTGAAAAACCACATACTCTGATCGCAAACTTCGCTCACTGTCTTTCTTTTGTTCACCATTAGTACAGACGTGAGAGCTGTTTGCGTGAGTGTGGTCCCTAGAATAGCAATGCCCGTTTTCATGGCATGATCTCGGTGTTGTAGAAAATAGGGATACTATGTTTTCTGCACCATATCCATACGTTTGAGCGACTTGTTTGGAATTTCGAAGTGTCACTTTCAAGTGAAACTCTCTGCAATAGCAGAAATATGTCGGAAAGATTATCGCGCACATTATTTTTGTCTCCATAGCACAACCTCTGCATACGAGTGTGGCTGTGAGTGTGAATCGTGAGCCACTCGCTTTCGAAAAAATATTTTTATTCTCCAATAAAGTTTATTATTTTTTGGATAGGGATTTCTTTTCAGCAACTGCTTTACTCGCTGTCGTATCACGTGATTGGGGAACAATAACTGCAGGTGCCATTGGTTTGTCTGTTTCCTACAGTCTCAATGTGAGTTACAGTTGCTCATTTGTAAGATAAAGGCATGACGCTAAACTAGCTTGTGAGTTGCCACTTTTATCATTACCCTAGTACTTTCCAGATCACGTTCATGCTTAATTTATTTGTTCGACAAGTTAGCGAAGTGGAGACGAATGTAGTCGCCGTTGAACGAATAAAAGAATATACCGAAACGGCCGTTGAGGTGACTGCCTACCAATCATTTTATCTACTTGTCCATGTCTCTGTTATTTCTGTAGGCACCGTGGCGGCGACAAGTTCCTCCTCCCCATGGTTGGCCTAATTACGGTGAAGTGTCAATCGAACACTACTCGACACGATATCGTCCAGGGCTTGACTTTGTCCTGAAAGATGTCAGTGTTTATATATCGCCAGGAGAAAAAGTTGGAGTCGTCGGAAGAACTGGCGCAGGTTGGCACAAATTGTCTGTTCTGCAGTGAATATCCCAATCACATTGTTGTTCGTTTTGACAAATAAACACAAATTAAGGCAAATCTTCGTTGGCTCTAGCTTTATTCCGAATCGTCGAGCCGGTGCAGGGCAAAATTCTTTTAGATGGTCTTGATATAACATCAGTAGGGCTGCATGACCTAAGAGAGCGTCTCACGGTTATTCCTCAGGTGATGATTTTTTTGCTTTTTTTCTTTACAAAAACTCCCAATGAAAAAGTCGTGTTGGGTTGGCCTTCAATAAATCGCAATTGTAATACAATCACATAACTCCTTGAAGTTGTTGGTAAGAAGAGTGTCGAAGCCAGAACTATTAGGTTTGAGTTATCTTCCTGAACTTCTTTTGCCTTGATGTTTTGGTGACTGTCATTATTTCGCCGTAGTGCGCGATACAAAGGTCTCACAAGGTTGGCGACTTCGGAACTCCGGCCTTGGACGGAACTCGAACAAGTACTTGCTACCCACTTATTGCTTACATCACCGAGACCCTACCTGCCATCGGTTTCTTGATTACTTTTATGCCAGCTTATCAGCACTGACGCGTACAACGTGGTGAGTCGGTCAGCCAATATCAGTATAAAGCTGAAAGCTTCACTTTCTAAAACTTGTATTCGAGACGAGGATGTGCCATGATAAACTTGTCACTTGGACGGCCCCGCTCGTCTCTACCACACTTATTGGTTAATCTCTGTTCTGTACCAAAACACGATGTCCGACGCAGAATAACTGGCCGAGATAAACGACTTTGCGACGACGACATTCTGCGGAGGGTTTCCCTCCTCCTTCCGGCACTGCGCCTTTGCGATCCGATTCTACATCCATTCACCTAGTGCGCATGTAATATTACCGTCTAATAAATACACTATCTAATAGTGCGTGCGCACACCTAATGTCAAGAAGTGAACATGAGAAGTATTCAGTTTATCTTACTGTCACAAAGAAAAAAGAAAGCTATAATAATCCACGGGCAAGTTGCTGCGTAACTATGGTACTTCGGTAGTCGCACCCTATTTTGACTTCATGTTTTGTTAACTGCTGTCATGTCGCCGCAGTATGCAATACGAATGTCTTCCAAGGTTGATGAGTACACTACAAAACTTCGACCTCACCTCTCCTCTATAGATGATGGATTGGGCTTCTATCATCTATAGAGGAGAGGAGAGCGGAAGATTGCGCGATCTGAACGAGTTGAACGGCGCGATGGGCGGAGTCGCGCCGCCTCAAATGGGCGGCGCGACCCCGCCCATCGCGCCAAACGACCGCCTCCCATTGTTACCCAATAGCACAAGCTCCTTACCCTTACGAATCCCGTCCACGGTTTCCTTATGCGCATCCCACTCAATTTTTGGTATGTGCGAGCACACTCAAACTTTTTCGAATGAAAAGCTATAGACTTGATGAAAGGTGAAATGGGAATTTATTTGCCCTACAATTACTTATCCGCACCAGTCGAAGTAGGCATTCGATAGCCTACCAATCGACCTCGATCTCGTTGGCTAATATAATATTTGGTGAGATTTCACGCAAAAATCATAAGCAGCAATGAATTGACTATTTTAACCCCCAGTGAGCGGAGTCTACACTTGCCACCTAATACTAGTGTCTCCGAACTGCCGCCTGCATCTCAAACAAACTTGAAGGCTTCAGGTCCAAATTGCAAATTTTCGCGCACGCCCCGCCCACAAAGGGAAGTCTACACCTGCTACCTGGGGTCTAATTTCCTATCTTACCGCCTGCATCTCTGCCAAATTTGAACGCTCTGGGTTCCAAATTGCAAATTTTCGCGCGAAGCCTAGCTTGAGTCACGTGTTCTCAAGTAGCTCGGCTCACTCGTTCCAACCTGATTGAGCTGCTACGGTTCAATTTTTAGACGGCACCATATAAAATCGTTACACACAAATAGACGAGCAGATAAACCAACAGTAGACAGACATTTGTGGTTTATATCCTACTATATAAAATTCGCTACGTATGTCTGTTGGTTTGTCGGTGTGTTTGTATGTGTGTGTCGGTGTATCTGTTCGACCGGAAATTCCTAACTTCTGTTCCTGTGGATCTAGGGCGTTCAAACTTGGTAGATATGGAGGGCAGGATGGGAACATTCGAAAGGTGGCAAGACGAGACTCCGGCTACAGGGGGGATCGAGGGGCGTGCGCGATATAAATTTCTGACCGCAAATTCTTACTCCTGTCTACGTGGACCTAAAATTTGGTAGAAGTACAGGCGATAGGATGGGAACCCTTTCGGTGGGTGGCAGGACTGGACTCTGCCTACAGATGGCGGGGTGAATGTGCGAAGTGAATGTTTGACCGGAAAATCGTAACTGCTGTTCCCGTGAACCTAAAGACTTCAAATATTGGTTACACCTATGGTGGGTGGCAAAACCAGACTCCGCCCACGCGAGGCGGGGTTTCTCAGAGGAGTAGAGGAGTCAGGATGGGAACACTGACGGTGGAAGGGGCTTTAGAAAACAAGATTCACTCATCGATTAAATCCAACGCCTCTGTTATTCACTATCTAGTTTTGACTCTATGATAAGTTATATTCGACAGGAAGGGTAAGTTCAGTGATAGGGATCGATTAAGAGCACTAATTTTTCAGGAATAAAAATTGGTTTATTTCTTGCTATTACTACCGCTACCCAGCAATGTTTGCGACTAAATACCATTTGCACCGCCCTACTAGTCCTCTGTTAACCCGTGTACACGTAAATATTATATGTTATGAAGAAGAAGTGGACAGTCAGCCGTATTACTACAACATTGTCCAAGAAAGAGGGAAATCCAGTGTCAGAAGGGCGAACCGACTGGTAGAGTATATATTGCTGATCTGACGTTTGTCCTCTACGTTGTTTGAATCGCATGGAGGCTACTTGCGGAGGTCACATTAAAGGCACTGTTAACGAATAGATGGTTTCGAAGATGTGCACATGGTTAGAATTCTAAGCCCCCTCTGATGACATTTGTGCAGGAATTAGGTCGCAAAACGGCTGGATAGGGCACAATAAGGCCAGGAACAGTGGGGGACGGGAGGCCTCCGCCCCTCGTTAGGCTGACTACGTGTTCAAGTTGTCCTTCACCACATTCGCACTGGAGCGAAGTTGGTGAAAAATCAATACGCTGATTGGCAAATTGCCAGGAATGGTCAGCTGGTCGACCGCCTCGTACAGGAGATAGTTTTCGGCTTTATTTCTATTTTATGTTTGTTATTTCTATTGTTTTTTTACTATGAATTTCACGGTAGCTTTCTTCAACTATTCTCGTAAGTTTATTGAAGATTTTAACATATTTTGGGTAGATTATTGCATGTAAATGTTTTTTTATTTTAGAAACTCCGTTAATTTCAATGTGTTGTCTGTATTGCAGACATTGCGCCGCCTTCGTGCATTCTCGCTCGAACACTCCCTAACCGCAGTTTTTTCTATGTGAAATTCGTCCACCCCCTCTTTCCAGCTCTTTTTTTGTCCCTTTGTAATTCTTTTTGTTCCTCGTTTTTTTGCGCTTTTTCGTTGTTATCGCTTTATTCTAGAGTAGTTCTATCTATTCCCGTCAAAAAAGGGTACCTTTACTTTTTTGTTAACAGTGCCTTTAAGCCTCGCCACACACCTCAAAATAATATAAAAACGATGCGCGAAGAGGCCTTCTCACAGTAGGATGGACATTTGACAGGTGGAGGCGTCCAGTGTAGAGTTCAGTTGTTAGATACAGGGCAGCGGCGATCAAATTTGGTTGAATGGCTTGCGAATGAGGGTTATTCACGTGCAGTAAGGATAACTTTCTTATAACATAAAAATTAATAATTCGATGCAAGATAGCTTAGCCCAAAGTTCATTATTCACGAATTAGGCGACGACCTGGACAGAACTTGCAATATGGGAAAAATCGCAGACCTGTCTTACAAGACATCGCGCTTTTGCATACACGCAGGAATCTTGTGCAATTTTTTCGGAGCATTCTCGAGGATTTCGATTAACTCGAAATTTAATGAATTATCCTTCCCTTGATCTAGCTTCAGATATGAACTGTCTTGAGGTTCGTTCTCCACCAGTTTCTCCACCTTACGTTGCAAAACAATATCGTTTTACAATGATCTTATAAGTGCGTTTCAAATAAATATAAATAACTATGAATATGTCTGGGTCTATAAATATAAATATAAATATAGGGGACCACGCTAACTTTTTGCAGTTCCAAGCTTGCAGTGCACTTTTGGAAAATGCTGCCAAAGCAATAGATTCCTCATAACGGGAAATCTAAGTACAGATTTTGTTAAGAAATTTCACTTTAGAATTGTTGAAACGATTTCCTTGAAAGGTGTTCTCACCTTTTCATGAGTATCAGTACGCATTCTTTAACGAAAAAGTTTATTACAACAGAATTAATGTTACAACTTCTTGATGATGGGTTGGTCCTCCATTATTCGCAAGGACTTCACCAATGCGTCTTGGCATGCTCTCAACCGAGCTAGCTATCGAATTGGGATCCAAGTTGGTCCTAGCGTTGAGGATGGACGGTTTGAGCTCTTCGACTGTGTTGTACTGCTTTGCCTCGTCGTAGATCTCGACAATGAAGACCCAGACATTCTTCATTGGATTCAAGTCTGGAGAACGTGCAGACCACTCGAGAATTGTGATATTTCTGCTTGCAATCCAATCCGAAGCGGAACGACTGACATGGACAGCCGCGTTATCGCGCATAAAAATCAATGAACGACGACGGTGTTGTCGAAGAAATGGTAAAAGTCGCTCGTCCAGCACTCTCTACGGAACACTCTCTGTCCAGCCGCAGAAAAGGCGCCCCAAACCATGATAGTTTCTCCACCAAATTACGTCGCTCTAAATTCAAGGGTGCATCGCGCGGATCCCTCCAATACCCTCTTCTACTGTCAGGTCTGGATTGAGCTTCTTTCCGTGGCTCCAGATTACCTAAAACGTAAAATAAAGATATGGAGTCAAAGACTGCAAAGTGTCGTAATAGCCGCACCTTCGTCCAATGAAGTGAGGCATTTTTCACGGCGAATTTGAGGCGTGCGACTTTGTGTCGCTCCGATAGTCTAGGGAACCACCTCATCAACTCTGCTGATGCTTTCGCTCCGCTGGGTTAACCTCCAGACAGTGGTTTTGCTCACACGATGCCGCGTTTCAGCGCTTGAATTTGACAGAACACGTCCAATTGCTCTTTCATCTCGGGCAGAAAGCAGCGTTTGTCGACCTGGACTATTCATCTTCCCGTACTGATCGGGACTCCGCAGGCAGTTGCGTGACCGGCCGGTATGGGCGGCAATCCTCCTTCTCGACCATCCGGCTTCAAACAGTGCTCTGACTTGAACTTGTTCCTGGTTAGAGACGAGCAGCACGTGGCATAGTTGCACGAAACCGAGCAAACTCCTGTATGAACCCCCATCCCAATTTCCCTTATGGAAGAAGAGAAACGGAAATTTTTCCAGAGTGGCACGTATTCAGTGATACACAGAAAATTCGTTCCGGGTAAGTTATTTAGGTTATTTGGAAAAGGAATTTTCTCAGAAAAACGTTACCAAGGTTTTTCAACATAGGCAATCTACTGGTGATAGCAGCATTTTCTCAACATGCACAGCAAATTTGGGATCACGAAAATTTAGGGCATCCCTATATTCATGAAACGCAGTGTATAGCACAGGAGTCAAGAATCCACAAGCGATATTTCTAGAAGCCTCTTGTTATATGGTTTACTTATGTATATAATTCCCCGCTTATAGGACCCTGTGCTGTTCTCCGGTACGCTACGATTCAATTTGGATCCCACGACGAAGTACTCCGATGAGGAGCTCTGGAAAGCTGTTGAAATGGCGAATTTAAAGCCATTTGTAGAAAATCTCCCACTTGGAATTTATCACCAAATTGATGAAGCCGGAGGAAATATAAGGTTCATTTTATAGTTACCGTTTATAGAATGTAACGATAGCGCTTGAAGCCCACTCAAGAAGCATAGATTAATCACATTTTAATACCGAAGTCTGCAATTTTTTATGACTTCTGACGTTTCAGTGTTGGCCAGCGTCAGCTCGTGTGCTTGACTCGAGCACTGCTGAGAAAGTCTCGAGTGTTGGTACTGGACGAAGCTACTGCTGCAGTGGATACGCAGACTGACACGCTTATCCAGGTGAAAATAGTTGCTCAAAATCTCCTCTAGGTTCTTGCCCACCATAATGATAGAGCCACACCGAGCTCGGAACATTTACACATAGAAAACGCAGATCACCTTAGAATCCGTTTCTCTATTCCCTATAGATAACGGAATCCAGCTGTCGAAGACCCTATGTGTAGAGTTGTTGCGACTTGCGAGAAGTGGTCGAAGTAGATCACAAACAACGGCTCAATTACCCCACGTTTCAAGATAATAGAGACTGAAAAATGTAATTTGGTGCAGCGACACAACTCCACCTCGAACACAATCTCCATTTAAGACAAAACCTACATATCTGACACGAAAGTCAAGTCAAGATCTCAATTTAGTATTCCAAAAACTGCTTTCTTTTTTACTAGGTTTAACACTTGCACCTTGAAATAGGGTCTGTTTGTCTACAATCAACTATAGTTCTGCATCCAATCTTAAATGAATCAAAAGGTCGGTGAGATGTCATGCGTTTTAACAACTCGGAGTGTTGAGCTATGCCATTCAGGCGGGAATCATGTAGTTATTATGTGATAGATTTCAATCACCAACATGGCATGATAAACAGTCGGTTTCACTCCTGGGTCTCGGCCTCATACAGGTATGAACTAGTTTAGGAGGTATGTCATGAAGAACGCATCAGTGTACAAAAAGATGGCAGAATTAGGGAGATCGAAGAATTTTGTGCCTTGATTTGCGAGCGCCTGAGAACCTCTGCAAACGTTTTCTTTCGGCGACGGCTTAAGATGGCTTAACCATTCCTATAAAAAAAGTTCCTTCCTACTTCTCACTCTGTAGGTCATCCAGCATGGGTAGGCGACCGTAGTGGTATTAGAAGCCTATATATTGCAGGCAACCATACGGAAGCAATTCGACAGCTCGACAGTCATCACGATAGCTCACCGCCTCAATACAGTCCTCGACTACGATCGGTGAGGTTCCGCTTTATATCTTCTTCCTTTTCATATTTCCGTTCTCCCAGTGACAGTCATTTCGTAAGGCTCAATTATAGGAACATTAAATAAAACCAACGGAATTTGCCGTATTCTCATGAATAAGGAGATATCCTTACGGCCAGTGAAATCGCTCGGTAAATGCTAGGCTGTTCTCCGTAAGAAGTTGTCAGGTTTTCACCAAAATAGTGTGTAGTTCACAGTCGACCATTCATTAATCATATCATCATTGTATATGCATGTGTTTTTCAATTAGCCCGCCCCCAGACTGAAAATGAATTTACGGGCTGACGTTTCGGCAGAGTCGTCATCTTCGCAGACTGCAAAGATGAAGACACAGTTGTGTACTATCACTCAACCACCGCTCAAGTCTATATGGAATCCACTTGGGGTTAGTATTCTGATCGAAGACGACAGTTGACTACCCGTAGCAAAATGGAGCTGCGTAGGCACCCTGGAGCGTTCATTTCGTTACTACATGTGAGCCAGCCAGTCTTTTTGTTTTCTTCATTGCTACTGATTTGACCCTTGAAGTTTATTTTTCTTTTGAACGGCGAATTGGAGGGCGATCATGAGTGGTTAACTCTTATCCTTCCAACTCCTCACATCTTTGATGTGAAGTAAGCAAGTTGAAGGCGATTTCTCAGGAGAAGGTCATCAAAATCAAGTGCTATCAAAATCGGCGACTCAATCGAAAAGTGTGGGAGAAACACGTGCCATATAACCATACATACTTAGAGAGGATATGATGATGATTGAACATCATAGTTGAGGGCTCTTCAGGCTCCTAATTTGAACAAGCCTCTTTACTGGAATTCCCTTTTTAGAGTGTTGGTCATGGAAAATGGTCGCGTCGTTGAATTCGGACCTCCTCAGCAATTGCTTGCCAACAGAAATTCTTTGTTTTATTCTATGGCTTCCAGTGCTAACCTTAATTAACTTCTTTTTGCCTGCTTACTTGTATATCCTTTATTAGTGGGTAGTTCCTTGATGAACTGATCACTGGTTGATTATTAACTGTTGACTATTTACCTCCATATGTTTGAAATCTCTCGTTTAATATTCAATTGTTAAAGAGGCAACTGTGAAAGCTGTACTGGTTATTCTCTGAACAATGGAAAGTTCGGAGTTTGAGTGTTCTGTTAAAGCTATCAAAGTTTCTTATCCTTTGTTTCTTTCTAATTTATTCTTTGCATATTGAAGTTATTTGTTAAAACAGCATTAGTGGGCAAGTGTATGAACCGATGAACAGGTCTTTCTCTAGCAATTTACTACACCAGATGACGTGAGCGTGCTGCTAATTAAACTCGAGCATCGTTCAACTGAGCTAGTCGCAGAGCATGAAAGGTTCTTGATAGATTGTTTTCCATCAATTAAAACTTTCCGGCTTATGCCGGTTCCCTACCTTCCTTTTACAACTTCTTTACGGAGTTCATACTCTTACCGCTCCCAATCTCCATCCGTTGCCCTTCATCTAGGCATTAATCTCTCACTACAAATTTAATCATTCTCCTTATTGAGTCTACTGACCCACTGACTTTTTAGTAACTGAGCCACCTGTTTTATCAACCGAAATTTTGGATGATACTTACCAATATTGTCGGGTGTTGATAACAGTACTGTCAGAGGTCCATTTTTATGGTCCTCCTCACTCCATGTATGAAACTTGTCTGCAGTGATTTTCAGATATTCAGGATAACGGTGGTCGGTTAAGAGCTATCAATCCTTTTCAGAGGTTACTAGCACTTGCCGCCAATTTTCAACGATCCAATGAATACTACGGAGTGTCACCCCCCCCCCTCTATAAACACAAAGAAGTTGCATATTCAGTGACTTTTGCCTTCCCTGGCTACTTATACCACCGCCAATGAGCCATTGTCATCAACTATCTACAGTCCCATCACACCCCACATCATCTCACGAAGTTTCGTACTTCACTGCTATCCGGCAGTGCAACTGACCCACCAGTTCATGATTTCGTGGACACCTATCAGAGCTTATCCCTTGTTATCAATTCCTCTCACCAAGCATTCTGGGTTCCGATTCAACCACCTGTGTCTATCTCAAATTTGAACGTTCACACCACACGCACACAAACACAAATACAATTGACAAATCAATATATAAATTTGGCGAATCTTAATTAGTAAGATGTATGATATTATCATAGCAAGCGAACCAAAGAACCAGCTCTCGAAAACTCACAAAAGGTGTATCAACATACAAATCTCGGAATGAATTAGACTCCAAAAAATTGCTCATTTTTTCGGGCTGTTTTTAATAGGTGCACCAGTTGTCCTTATTAGCAAAAATGACCCGGATGAAACAGCTGTTATAGCCAAATTAAGGCGCCAATAAAAAGTGGAACCAGTAAAATTCTAAAGATGATAAGCTCGTCATTTCCGAAACTGCATATTGTACACCCTGTTATCGAAGCGTTCCTGAGCGACTTAATTATAAAAGACCAATAGAGATAAGACATAATCTCATGCTGGCTAAGAGATCTGGAAACAAGCATGAGAAGAATGACATAGCCATTGAACTAGAATATGTAGTATCACTTGTCAGAGTACCGTGCGAATAACACGGTAAGGATTATAACTGCCTTGAATTGTTACTGCACAGACCAGTTTTGCTTGGACGCTGACCAAACATCAAACCAACATTACAATGGTATGATATTACAATTGAATTACGTTCGAGGAAGCATAGTAGCCTTGTATTATATTACTAGTGCCGTTTCCCTCTGCTCAGCGCAAACCCCTTGATAGCGCAATCTTTATATGTCCTCAACGAATACAATAAAACGAGAAATCCAAAATTAATCAAGAAAGAACGTGCTCAGCTCGAACGTCTGAATCAAATCCAACATAATTGTTTTACTCCAGAAAATTTTATACTTAGGTTTCCGACTTCTCTCTTGCTTTAACCTCGGCATAGCTGTTGTTTGTGATAATTATGATCTTGTGCCACACGAGGTTTTCAGGTGGAACAGTTTACTCGGTCAAATGACCTAACGTTTCGACGCAATCGTCGTCTTCAGAGGCCAAGGTTCCACCTTCTCACGCCTAGAAGATTCGCTGTCGCCACAGGCGACTGTCAGTAGCGAATCAAAGCGGATTTTCTCCGCGCGAGTGGTGGAACCTTGGCCTCTGATGACGACGATTGCGTCGAAACGTTAGGCCATTTAAGTGAATAAACTGTTCCATCTAAAAACCTCGTGTGGCAAGATCATAATTATCACAAATTTATTTTTAGGATTTCATTCAAGAGTTAACAAAGTTGTTGAATCGCAAGCATGCCACCACAAACACGGGCACATGTCCTGCATGCCAGATTGCGAAGACGTTTTCAAAGCGTATTATCCGTGAAGTAATGAAACACCTATAAATTCAAAAAGTCTGAAAAGAGATACAGATAAAAATAGTTTCTTAGATTTTCTCTTAGGATTACTCAGTGGCCCTAAAGGTAACAGGAAGGACGCTGTCGTGCCTTAAAACTGAAGAGATAGAGCATAGTAGTGGGAGCCCCGTTACAGGATCGCAGGATGCCCCTCCTCTCGACGATGTGTCAGAAGAGTGTCGAGGCGATAGAGATTGCAATATTACCAGCACCCACACATGCAGCACGCAATCAACTGATCGCCTAATGATGAGGCGACGTTTTTCTCCTTTTTTGTTATTATCTTTGTGATTCTTCTTACTGCGGCGATCCTTATTCTAATTTTGTAACTCGACAGACTGAAAAAGGCGGGCTACTTCTGCTGTTACTAGGGTTTTGTTAACTTATGCTTATTAGAGAATGAATCGCGCATTCATTTTTCCTCTGTTATTCTTCTTGCTGGCGCGATCCCTTATTCAATTTCCTACTCCTAGAGGCTGAATAAGGTGAGCTACTTTTGCTGTTACTAGGGTTTTCTTTGTTCACTTGTGCTTAAAAGTGAATAAATTTTTGTTTACCGTAGTCTGTTATTCGCACCAGGACCCACAGTGCGCAATGACACGCGTTGTATAGCTCGTCCAAACGCCCCGGTCTTCTCCATTTTTCTGTTCTCATTCTCTTCTATCCCTTTTTAAACGATTTTTTGAAGCCTTTTTAATTCTGGGAACTCTGATTCACGCAGTTTCTTCGTCTTCATCGCACTATTTTCCGCCTTATCTTCCATTTTTCGTCATAATCCCGATTACCGAAAAATATCGTGAACTGTGCCTTTAGGCAATGAAATCTTCGATAGTAGGCTTGAAGAAAGCGTGGCCTCTTTTTGAAAAGCTTTTCCTCCTTCTTCTCCGCTTATTGATGTTGGTATGTAGGCAACGAACATTTCTAGAGCTGAGTTGAGTCGCACTCCCCCGGTTGTAAACTTCTGATTCAGATTGTCAAGCTTTTGTAGCATTCAATACTTCGTGTTGAGGAGGGCACTTACACTGCCGATGCATCTGCTGTTGCGAGATCCGAAGAATAGTTCATTTCAAGCCTCGAACGCGACTTGCAGCGTACGATGCTTTCTAATCTCGGTCAATTCGATGATGTCGGTACCGGGATTCCTAGCTTGCATCAACACATCTTCATTATGCTTTTCCGTGCCAAACATTCGTGCATTGGAAGTACAGATCGCTATCTTGTTCCTCCTCCTCAGCCTGCTATGGTGCTGAGATTTTAAACAGCCAATATGTTAGTGTTTTCGGGCATATGTGTACCCTGAGTGCTTGCTACGACCTAACGCAGAAGCTGATTAGATTTCAAGGAGTTAGCCATGCTATCCCAAAGTGGACAAGGGGCTATTATTAAAGTCGATATCTTGTCGGTTTATGTCCTTGTCACGCAACTGCCTTTTCTTGGCGAGCTAAACCGATATGCAGAATACCAACTACGGATCATTGCACTCTCCACTCACCCATCCGTTGATGCACCTGCGACGAGGCAGAAAGTATAATTCGACTCAACACGCGGAAACAGGATGCCCATTCTTCAGATCAACTTGTG